ATTGTGGAGGAGGGGGGGGGTCCCATTGGTTAATGAGGAATTGTTTTTGTGAGATATGGAAGAAATTAGTAAGATCCATGAGTAAAAAGGCCACTTGCTTTCTATGTTGTCCTGTTTTTCTTTATTCATGGGTATCATGTTTATAAAGCAGTCGTCATTTGATTTTCTTCCTTTATGGTTGGACATTTTTTGTTGTTGTTGCCATCAAGTCACAGCTGACTGATGGTTCCCCATGGGGTTTTCAAGGCAAGAGACATTCAGAAGCTGTTTGCCATTGCCTGCCTCTGCATCACGACCCTGGTATTCCTTGGAGGTCTCCCATCCCAATACTAGCCAGGGCCATGCAGGACTTTAAAGTAATATTTTACCAGAGACCATTCCCCCCTACCGAAGTCATTTTTAAAAGTACTAATGTCTTCCGTTCCACTGGGAAGCTCTCTGTGGTGTTAGGTATCAGAGTCTGGTGGTGGTGCTTTTTGACAAATTAAAAACCCTCGCAGCTGCCCAATCACTGGCTTCCTATTTATAGTGGGAGTTAAGAAAATCCCACAAAGCTCTGAAATGTGATCTCCTAGAGTAAACTAGTATCAGCTCAGCTGTTCCAGTATTCTAGTATGCATATATGTATATAATTTTTTTCTGATATATGATTATTTTCTCACTGATATTGCTTGCATCTGTAGGTATATAAATATTACTTTGTTTCCTATTTTAGAAGAACAAAGCTACATACTCAGAGATGCAGAAGCTGAAGTTCTCTTTTGTTTCAGTTTAGAAGAGTCCCTGAAGAGAGCTCAAGTAGCACCTCTCTTTAAGGTACATGATTTTTTGGTCCTAAAGATGCTTATGGCCAGATGATTAAATACTATACTGTCATGATGATTTTTTTAGCATTTCCCCCCAAAATAAGTACTTAAGTGAGCTATAAACAAATACTCCCAGATTACTGACTTATTTCAGATATGCCAAATGTTGGTTTACACTAGCCAGAGTTTAGAATCCAAAGCATGGTTTGACCTTCAAAGCATGGTTTGAACATATAATAGGCAAACTATGGTTTAGAGGAATTTCTTACCCTATCAACATCCCCATTTTTAAGCTCATTACTATCGCCATTGTACCGCAGCCTCTGAAGGCAGAGCAATGGCTGTAATTCCTCCAAACCATAGTTAGTATAAGTCATGGTTTGCAGATCTGTTTAAGACCATAATTTCTGGTTCTGGTTTACTGAATTGCTCCAGTGTCTTTGATAAGTAATAGGCTGGTATTGAAGAACAATTAACTATTTTAAAGCTAAATTGATTCTCCTGGTATAAAAAGGGAAAGTTCTTTAGATGTCTACACAGTAAATTTTGGGAAATCCACACATTTAAGAGTCAGTACAGCAGTTGTTGTAATAGTTTACTGTCTGGTGGTTTGACTTTTATTGAGTCTTGGCAGCAATGCTAGCCTATTGTTTCAGGTTTATGAAGAATAATTTGTGTTTGTTATAGAATAAGGTTATGTTACTGGAAAAGCGCTGTAGGCCATGTAGAACATTTTCTTTGCTCACTAGGTATAAAATTATTACATTATCAGCTTGAACTGCTAGCCCAGTTACATTTGCAGAGGCAGACTTTAAAATGGATATAAATTACAAACAGGGATGTGTGCAAATAGGCTGGGCTGGCACTCTTTGTTGCATTTACCCCTTCATCTTGTTTCTTGGTACCTTGGAGCTTAATTGTTGCGTGGATACATGTACATCGCCTCAGCTTGAGGGAGAAGGAGAACGCAACCAACAAAGGGAGTTGGAACATACCAAGGACTTATACTGTGTATGAAAAAAAAAAGGATTGAATGCTTTGAGATCCTGTGAAGTTGTGAAAGAGCCAGGTTATGAAAGGTCTAAAATTGCCTTTTGGTTCTCTGCAAAAGACTAGCAAAATATTCATGGTATATTTTGTGCAGACTTGCTGCTGTTCCAAAGGAAAACTTTCTTGCCAACAGAAAAGAGACAGAATGGTGGTGGGAAAGGAGAAGTGTTCATGCACACGAAGCTCATACCCTGAATAAACCTTTGTTGGTCTTCAAGGTGCTACCGGACTAGTGCTAGATACTTGTGGTGGTTTCAGTAATGGTTTAAAAATGGACTGGCGTAGGCATATGATCAGTGTTGCAAACCCCAAAACTACTAAAAATATTTTATATTTTATAAATACACTTTAATTTTAGGGGAAGTACTTTTATATTACACCTGGAATTTGCCCTAGTCTTTCCACCATGAAGGCTATTGTGGAATGTGCAGGGGGAAAGGTGTTGTCCAAGCAGCCTTCTTTCCGGAAACTCATGGAACACAAACAAAACAAAGTAAGTGGGTCTTGATTGGTTTTCCTAGAGCTTCAGGTTAGAAAATATGTTTTTTCCCAACTAATTCAGTTTTATATTTTTCATGTAGAGCCTGTCAGAGATTATCCTGATCTCTTGTGAAAATGATCTTCACTTGTGTCGAGAATACTTTGCAAGAGGCATAGGTATGTGTGTGCACAGTGCTTGTAACACATTGCTCTAACAGTATAACTGAATGCTTACCAGGCAAGGCTAGATTTAGAGGAAACAGGTAAATGTTTTTTAGTCTAGTGGTTTGGACATAGTGGGAATGTATAACTGGAGGATTATGGGCTTCTAGTGAGAATGTATAACTGGAGGATTATGGGCTTCTAAAAGGGTTATGCAAGCTGTTTTTGGCTCATTTTTTCTTCTGTGCCATCTCTGAGCTTCCCTATATAGCACATGGATAGTTAGGCAAATACATGCCATCCTGTGGTAAATTTCCCATTTGGGAGTAGAGTAACCAAAATCCAGACCTCAGCTCCCAATGCCACAGGACAGCTGTTACAGTACCAGAGTGCTTACGTTCTGGTGAAGGGAGCAGGAAGCCATCTATCTAGCCCTGGAGCTTAGCAATCATGTAGATTTCCCAGTCATTTATCACTACCATCATGATTCCTCGTGAGCCTACATCTTGAGTATCGCTAATTTTCAGTATATCTCCAGGTCATCCTCAATTTTCCATCATTTATCTTGCCACAAGTGGAAATATTAAAAAAAAATATTAAGGCAGTTTTGAAGTGTTCTGTTTGTAGGCAGGGCTAAATATTTGGCTGGTTAAACCAGATCTGTTATTTTTTTCCAAAAACAATTTATTAGGATATAATAAGAAACAGTTCAAACATAGTTCAAAACTTATACCATTGTTAAAGTCAGTCAAAAACTAGATCTGTTATTGACTGACTTTAACAATGTGTTAATATGTACATATCTAGAAAAAGCTTGATAAAATATTTTACAGAAAAAAACAGTTTGTGACACAAGTAATTGTTATACTTTCCTAAAAACTTAATTACCAATAACTGCAGTAGTTAGAACAACTGAGTAAGTTAGAAATATGTCCCATAATGCATACGTATACACAGTGCAGTGAATCATGTACACAGTAACATCCATGGCCATACCTCCTCCTTTTTGTTCCCAGTGTGGTAGATCTTAGAAGGGAAGAATAGTTGCTTTTTCTGGTAGACACTGTGTAAGATGTGAAAAATTGCATGCCTGCCCCCCTGCTTTATTGTGGAGCTCAATATTGGAACAACAGTTTGAGACACAGGATGTAAACTTTCACTGTTCGAATTACGTCAGAATCCCAGTACAGCAATGTGTATTAATCCCTTAATGTTGATGCCATTAAATGGCAGCACATCCCAAATTATACTTGGCATAAGTCCAGTTTCTAAGCAGCCTCTTTCCTACTTCATCCAGCTCACCAGCTGCAGTTCTTCATCGATCTGACACAGCTTGTTCTGGTCCATAATTGGGACCCAGCTGCCAAGGATCCCTTTGTGTGTAGGCCTACATCAGAACATTGCACCCTCATTGAAGGAAAGTTCCCTGTCTCTGTGAGAGAGGCATCCATGCGCACTCTCTGCCAGCTTTGAAACAGTGTGATCTTTACTTTGATCTGACAACTCAGGGTTCAGGTCGTCCTAGTTGCACAAGTTAAAATATGGAAGATAAACCTCCAGGTTTCCAGACTTTTTGTAAGTAGATGCAGGAAATTCAACATGGGGTTGTCCAAACAAAGCTTTTATCGTGATGTGCTTTGTTATATATTGCTTTATTTTTATTTTTGCAGATGTTCACAATGCAGAGTTTATTCTGACTGGTGTTCTTACTCAAACGCTGGATTATGAATCATATCCTTTCATGTGCTAGTTAAAATATTAACGTGAGCTCTGTAAACCTTCCAAATTCCTTCAAACTGGTTTCGTTCTCAGCAGTTGTCCAGATTCACAGAATGGGCTGGCCTGATGAACTTAACATTTTTATTTTATTATTTAAAACATTCCTATGCCACCGTTCCACCCAAATAGGGGCCCCAAGGCAGCAAACATATTAAAACATTAAAGCAGCATTTAAAATAAGGTGTGTATATATAAATATTTAGTCCATTCAATAAATATATATAGACAAGAAAACACAAGTAATACAACCAGGAAGGAGGGCCTATAAGGGATCCTGGGGGTCTGCCAAACCAAACAAAAAAGTCTTCACCTGCTGTCAGAAGATAATGGCAGAGGGGAGACAGACAAATCTCCCTGTGGGGAGGGAGTTCCAAAGTTTCAGAACCATGACTGAGACGGCCCTTTCTTGGCTTGCCACCCATACAGCCTCGGATGATGATAGCACCCAAAGCAAGCCTGAGCTTATCCAATACAGGTGCCATTTCTTAGCTGTATTTGTGAAAACATATTTGCAAGTTTCTTAGTGTATCAGTTGTGATTTGAGACTCCCTGAAATTTAGGGGTGAACTCTTTAGATCTTTTGTTGTGAAGCACATTCCTGCCTTTTAGCTATCTTCTACTTTGTAATGAGCTGCTGCAAGAGGTGGATAATAATGCTGAATCTAAATTTGTGTTGGACTTTTCCATTAAAAGTGAGCATTAATGATGCTTCATCATCATAGAAAGAGCTTCAGTCCACCATGATTGGCAAAACTGATTCATAAAATGTGCCATAGCGTTTAGTGCATGTGAGGTGTCAGCCATCACTTTGGAAGTGTGCAAACCTTACTGCTAGAAATGGAAGTCTAATCTCTTTTGCACTATATTGTACTATTTTCTTAATATAAAGGAATGACTTTAACAATTTGTCCTCCATTTTCAAGGTTCTTTTCCTTAGCCAATCATACATATAAGTTCACCTGACTGGAAGTAAAATGCCTTACAGCTTCAAACTACTTGAAGTCTTGTTGGAGGTTTTCCAACCTGTGGGTCAATTAAACAGTCCTTTCTGATTTTTTGTTTTTGTTTTCCACTTGCTTTGCTGATGGGTGACGAGCAGTTCAAGACAGGAAAGCAAACGTTAACTGCATCTGTTTAGGATGTGCAACACTTTATTAACAAAACATAATTAACTATGTTTTTGTACTATACTACAAGTTAGAGAGAAAGGTTACTTTTTATATTACAAATTAGTTTTTCTGACTCTTTAGAATTTTTATCAAATGGTGGTACTTAATCAAAATCAAAGTTGGAATGTAAAGAGAAAAGGGCTTGTGTTTTTAAATTATGGAAGTAAATATTTTGTACTTTATTTTATTATGCTCCATTTCTTTTATATTGGTAGTATCCCAGTTTTTAATACAAACGTCTAATGGCTTTCTTTTAAAATTTAGTAGGGTTTTCTAAAATATGGTGCAATTGTGGCACTCTCTGGTAAGGGTAAATTACTCTGATCATTCTTCCAAATGTTGTAAGATACTCTTCTGCTTTTCCAGTTGTGTTTTAATATTAAAAATTTTACGCAGAATTTATTGGTAATGTGTGTTTCTACTAAAGTTAGCTTGAACTCACCACTCTGTTCTGATAAGTTTTATTGTCATTCTACTGAAATAAATATGCAAAAAGGAATTCAGATGTATTCATTTCATCCAAAGTGAATGCTTATATATAGTTAACCTATTTAATTGTAACTCAAATATATCTGATTAAAAACGAATTCCAAAGTAAACTATACCGGTCGAGCATCATGGATCCCAAGTGGCTGCTTTGCCAGTAACAAGTTATGCATATTTACCTGGGACTAAGTTATATTGGACTTGCTGGGTTTTTCTTCAGAGCCGACCCGTTTAAGATTGCTCCCAGAAGTATGTTTTAGCTTAGTGTTCATTTTTGTGCAACCAACTTAAGAAAAATTTCATCTGATTCCCTTCACTGATGATTTTTTAATCCGAGCATATCTCACTGTAACTTGGTCTGATTTTGATTATTTAGTGTTGGCCACAGCTTGGGAATCTTGGTGATTTTTCTTTAATAGGCTAAAATACTTCTCATTTGTCTCCCTCATCAGCCTGCCAAGGTGTGTGTTCAGGGGCTTTTTTCTGCAAATGAAGAGCCAAATAATGGCAAATGATTCATGTGAAGAAGCTTCATGTATAAGAGTCGCCTGGTGTCATGTTTAAACATGACTGGAATGATAACAGAATGCCACTTACTGATCTCTTGTGATGCACTTTTGAAGATGTTGAACTCACTGTGGGCAGATGAAGTTAACTGATCTTTCCTTGTGTTGGAATTGTACCCTTTAAAGATACTGACAGCATA